GCAGAGATATTTCTGCTCCAGCGGTTTTAAACGAGGATCCAGGTTGAATTCTGAGGAGGCAGAATCACCAACCCTTCGTCCAGACCTCAGCCGTCTGTAGCACAGGCGTCAATCACATTTTGAAGTGAATAACATTGAGAGTTTTTGTTGATAACCTGGTGAAGGTGTCGAGTCCAAAAAGAAATTCACCGAGTTCCAAAAAAGCTTCAAGAAGAAAGTGAACAGAGGAGATTCACAAAGAGGAAGCTGAACCCAGACGCTGTTAGCCACATCAATGTGTCGCTATTTTAGGCCCGTGAGTGGGAACAACTGTCCAGCACATTTAGAAGGAAGAAGGAAGGAAGGAGAATTAATCCAGAGAGAAAAGGTGAATGATGATGATGATGATGATGATGAAGGTTCTTAACAAAAACTGGAAGTCGGGTTTTTAACATTTTTTCATTTTGTAATACTGTAATACTCTCAGACAGAGCGTGTTTCAACTTGATGATCATCATCACGACCCACAGCCGGCCCATCAAGAGCCAATCCCAGCATTCAACAGGTGAGGGCAGGGTACACTATGGAAAGGTCACCGGTCCAACACAGAGCCACGTATAGAGACACACTGGCATTGACACCCACGGTTAATTTGGAGTGACCTACAGTAGTAGTTGATGTTGTTGGTGGTTGGAGGAAGCTGGAGTACCCAGAGAAAACCCACGAATACATGGGGGTAAATATGGAACTCTACTCCAATAGAACTAATGATAGAGAGGTCTAATAAGGAAAGATAAGTCAAAGTTAACCTTCTCCATAGTTACTGAACAGAAAGCGAGCAGAGCTTCCACACCAGGAGACATTTCCAAACAAATGTTTTGAAATGGTGGCGGTTTGGCCCCGAAGCAATGGCTCTGTCATTGGTGTGGACCCCCGGGGTTCACCTCCTGGGCAAGTTCAAGTCCCGGTTAGGGCGGTTGGTACCTTCCAGTGGACTCACTACCTGCAGGAAGGTTTGGGGGGGTTGGTACGGTGCAGTGTGATCTGGGTGGTGACTGCTGCCCCCGCGACCCGGTAATGGATGAAATTAAATGGATGGATGGATGGATGAATGGATGTATGGATGGATGTTTTGAAATGTCTCCTGCTACACCGTGTCACCTAGACTCAGTAGAACGATTACCACGAGCTAATTACCAGTAAATGTTGGTTACGCAGGTCTCGAGGTCAACACTGCTCACTTATATTAATAAAAAAAAGACATGGGAGAAAAATGAGTGCAGTAGAAAAACACACAACACCGTGGAACCTGCAGTGAATCAGTGATCGACACAGGTCTTTGAGTACAAAGACAGGTATTTGAATGACGTATGTGTATCGGATATTGAGTGTAGTATTGGTATTTGATGTATCCCTACCTAAAGTACTACCAGAACTAAAGAAGCCTAAGTTCAAATACATTGAACCGGACTTGAATTCCCGTTAGCGCCCACCGACACACAACGAAGAACTGCAGTATGACCTGAATACACAACAATTACACACGTACTCCGCACCGATTACTGCGAAAATAAAAAAGTTGAATGTGACCCAGGAATGACTGACAATCAGACTGAAGCATGCTGGGTACAGGCTGATGAATCCACATGGTAACGTGTGGGTTTTCTTTGACGTGTGTGTGTGTGTGTGTGTGTGTATTTTCCATAGAAAAAGACTGGATTGACACGGAGAATGACTAACAATCAAACTGAAGCATGCTGGGCACAGGCTGATGGATTTATGGTAACGTGTGGGTTTTCTTTTGACGTTTGTGTGTGTGTGTGTGTGTGTGTGTGAGGGGGAGAGAGAGAGAGAGAAGGAGAGAGAGAGAGAGCTGTATAAACGAATGCAGCTCAGCTCAGTGGGGAAGTCCTCATTAACAGTCACAGGACATTCAGAAGTTGTGTGAGACCGACTGTCACTTTTGAATTTTCTGTGAAATCTCTGGAACAAGGTGTTCAGGTTCAGAGTTGAAAACAAGGATCAGAGCAGCTTCAACAGCTGCAGCTGCAGGTTTCTGGTTTCTGGTTTGGTTTTTAGGATCAGAAGTGACACCTGTGTGGATCCTAACATTTCCACCAGTCCAGTCTGTGTGATGGTACTGTATGCTCTGGTACTGGTTGATTTATTTCATCTGTAGGTTTGAAAGATTTTTTTTCACAGTGATGGATTTTGTTTTTTTTGCTCTCCTTTCTCTGCCTGATAACTCACCGCTTCAACCAGACCCTGGAAGAGTTAAGATTAATTAAAAGATTAATTAATTACCAGAGGTCTAATTACATTACATCACATTTAACCAGATGACCTATATTTGAAAAACACCAGGCGGGATCATCTTTAATGGAAAAGAGAAGATGGCCCAGGGATGTAGAAGGATGTAGAAGGATGTAGAAGGATGTAGAAGGATGTAGAAGGATGTAGAAGGATGTAGAAGGATGTAGAAGGATGTAGAAGGAGAGCTGAAGCCAGTTCAAAACAACAGTTTGGAAACAACTGGAACATTTCAAATATGGTGTTTACATCCAGGTCACAACAACAAACACTCACTGGGATTTATATCACAATGAAAAGAAAAATGGTACATTTACAGGAATCAGCTGGACGTGAAACACAACAAATGGTTAGCCTGTCCTCTGTCCACAGGTCTATGCATCCATCCAGGTTCACATCCATCCATCCATGTTCACATCCATCCATCCATCCCTCTATATTCTCATCCATCCCTCTATATTCTCATCCATCCCTCTATATTCTCATCCATCCATCCCTCCATGTTCTCATCCATCCATCCCTCCGTGTTATCATCCATCCATCCATGTTCTCATCCATCCGTCCATGTTCTCATCCATCCACCACCCTGACTGGTCCTGACTGGTCCTGACTGGTCCTGACTGGTCCTGACTGGTCCTGACTGGTCCTTTTCTTTACTTCCTCTCAGTGCTGGAGAGTGACATCAACCTCTACCTTGTATGTGATCCCATGGCACAGACACAACACTCTGTGAACCCAACATACAGAGCAGATAATGAGGTGAAAACAGCAGATCGACCTCAGTTCTGTGTAGAACACTGATGATGTTTTTGGACAGAATAACAGAAGTAGGACGGAGGCTGAGGTTTCATGTTTTCCTGTTCTCAGCTCAGCCCGTATCTCTCCTCATCATCTCACCCCACCCCGCCCTCCTCCGCCTCCACAACAGTTGTTTGTCTAAATCAGCATTTGCATTAGCAATTAGGATTTTGACTTGGTTGGAGGGTTTTTCTGCCGTGACGGTGAAGGCTGGAGGAGCTGAACGGCGGCTGAATGAAATCCTTCTAAAGTGGTTGTAGTTTTGATCAAACCTGACTCACAGATGACACACCTCAACCATCACCTTCAAGATCCAATCGAAATCAGCCGATGTTCGAACTGTAACAAACTGACAAAAGTGTCACACACTGATACAAAACCATTGGTTGAAGCGTTGTTGTTGTTGTTGTTGTTGTTGTTGTTGTTGTTTTTCTTCTTCCCAGGGACACACCAGCATGTACGCTGTAAAAACACAGTCCCATCCTCCGGGCTGTCAGACAACCTCCTACACTGCTCCAGAAATACCTCTGAGTATTTGTGTATTTTAAATGTCAACTTTATGAGGCTCCCACAGTGGAGGCCCCCCCCCCCCCCCCCCCCCCCTCAGAGTCTCCCACGCATGTGAAACACTTCACTGCAAACACTGTTGACAGGTGATTTCTCTCACTTTTCTCTCTCTCCTCACACTCCATGCTGGGGGTAGTGTGTGTGTGTGTGTGTGTGTGTGTGATGTTGGAATTATGAAACAAGTTTCTCAGTGAGTTGGAAAATGATTTATTGTCTTCCGCGTGTCTTTGTCTGCCGTGTACAACACAGGTGGTCAGTCATGTCTCACTCGACTGTTGTTCATTATAAACATGGACTCTTCTCCATTTTCACTGTTGTTTTGATTTTTTTTTATGTAAAAAATAGGTAATAATTCTGGGCTAAACAACTGAAATGGACTTTCCATGTGTACAATGTGATTGGTGATGAGTTCAGAGTGTGTGTGTGTGTGTGAGTGTGTGTGTGTGTGTTTACTCATGTGTACGAAGCCACTGGTTGGTTCTGTGTCTTGACATTGAAGTCAATGTCATGTTTAATAAACTGGACCAAAACCTGCAAATTGAAAGTTCAAAGGTCGTTCTCCATCTCTCTCTGCATCAGTTCCACCTGGTCCTCGTTCAAAACACTCAACATCTGTTTTCTTACTTCCTACTTCCTTTGTCTTTGGTGTTCTACACTGACGTTTCTAAAAGCGGTTGTTGTTTTTTTTCAGGGACCAATCAGCTGCAACCTCCTGATCAGATCTGTGACTGGTTGGACATTAGCGTCTCCTGGGTTCAAGCTTCCCTCACCTCCACTGGACATGGTCCTGATCAGAAGAGTGGTCTTCTGCGGACGGTTAAAGGACCAGATTTCCTAGGCTGAGAATCAAGTGATGGAGGAGGACGATTGGACAAAGACAGTGGTCTGCAACCTACGGCCTGTGGGCCACATGTGGTCAGTCTGTTTAAATCCCGTGAAATCAGTGAAAACATCCACGACTAAAACAGCCAATCCAACAGTACGATTGGTTGATGCCTGAGCGTCCTGCACTCTCTGCAGTCACTGACACTGACGGACAGACAACACAGTGAAGGCGGTACAGATACTGACTGGTCTGTCCACAACAAAAGACACGTCTCCCTCTCCAGAGGAAAGCACGTGTGTTTTGACAAAACGACTGACGCTGAACGGCGAAGTAAATAGCCTGCAACATCTCTCTCTCTCTCTCTCTCTCTCTCTTTCGCCCCCCCATCTCTCTCTCACCCGACCACCGCCTGTACAACACATGGAATAACGCCAGTGAAGTCACTGCCGTCAGTCAACAACAGTGGAGATAAAACACACTCCATGATGACACGCGTTTATCCACGACACTTTCACTCTACCTGGTGCTGAGACACTGCTGCTGCTGCTGCTGCTGAGGCTGAGGCTGATGTTGATGCTCAACAGCATCCACAGCATCGCGGCCACGGTGACGCGGAGTGGGTGCCCGACCGAGCCGGTGGCCGGGAGCATGGCGACAGCGGGTTCAGAGAGTGAGGGTTCTGGTCTGGTCTGGTCTGGTCTACAGTGACTGGACCGTGGTCCCGGGGAGACTCGGTATCTAGAGACAGTGCGCCAGTGAGAGCCGCATCCTCCTCCAGACAGTTGGGAGTTCCACTGGATTCTGACTGCGATCTGTCCTCCTTCTCCGTTACATGCACTCATCTCTCCCTCACCCTCCCTCCCCCTCCCTCTCTCTCTCTCTCTCTCACACACACACACACACACTCCGCCTCCACATCCAGCTCCATTCTAACCATAACAGTATTAGCGGTGTTGTTGGCTGTTGCCTGTGGCTGTAGCTGACGGAGGAATCCTCTTCCTGACTTCTTCTACACTAAATTCCCAAGAATTCACTACATTTGATCCCAGACATCTGACAGCCTCCACCGAGTCTCAATATGTGGGGAGCAATCCCCAAGCCGTCTAGAACTTACACTTGGTCGGGTCTGATACACAACATCACAATGAGACATTAGAAAAAAAAAACTAATGAAAAAAAAAAAAGCCAAACATTGATTCACGTGACACGTGTCATGTAAACTATCCCCAACCACCGGGGTGGGGACCAGTACAGTGCCATGCATCATTTGATCCTGGACCATAAAAAAGTTGAATTTATCCTTTTTTAAGTTGACATTAGTCTGTAAAGTGTTTTATTTTGAAAGTCCAAATGATCCACTCCTCCGTTGAGAAGAAATGAGTAAAGAACAAATATCGTTGAAGAAACTCTTAAAAAAGGTGGAAAGGTCTAATAATAATGATGAGACAGCAGGGGGCTCCACAACCAAAAAGGACTGCACACAAAAAAAACCATAGACACCAAGTACCAAAACATGAACAGGAAGAAATTATTAATGGCCACTGTTACGTGTGACCTCCACTCTCACTCTCACACACTAACACACACCCCTGCCACTGGTCGCTGGACAAACAGATGAGACAAATGTGAGGTCTAAGCTACATTAGGTGTGAAGTATCTTTACTTAAAAGATCTTTTTTTTATCTTGATATAATAATCAGATCTAAACTTTAACATCAAATGAAGTGTGAACGGTTTCTGCTGAGTCTGTCTGACCTAATAAGAAATAAAAAGCCAGAGCACGGTGGACTATTTTATTATTTTTTTTCATCAGGGAATGAGAGTATTTGTTACGCAGATTGAACATGTAGTTTTTTTTTTCCTCATATGTCTATATTGAGTGAAGCACCTCCATACAAAGTACATGCATTTTTAATGGCCCACTGTACTGCAGGGAGGAGAAAAGAAAATATTGGATTGGTTGCATTATTGATACTGGTATGAGACGTGAAAAGAGACTCATCCAGACGTCACTGCTGAAAAATATATGGATTTCTACTGCGAGCTTTGGTTAAAAAAGACCGCGTCTCAAAGGGTGGGTTTTTAGAAAGCCAAGGATAAAATGGGAGGAGCTTACAGGGTAAACCTTCTTGATTGGTTGAGAACTCCTTCATTTGCATCTATATACACATACATATATACATACATTCACATCTATACATATACATATATATATACACACATATATACACACATATACACACATACAGTATACACGTATACATACATACACACACATATACATATACATACTGTACATATAGACACATACATACATATACACACATATATATATACAGTACATACACACATACAGTATACACATATACATACATATATGCACATATATACATATACATATATATATACACACATATATACATATATATACATATACACACATATATATATACAGTACATATACACATACAGTATACACGTATACATACATACACACACATATACATATACATACTGTACATATAGACACATACATACATGTACACACATATACATGTACGTACATATACACACATATACATACATGTAGACACATACATACATATACACACATATATATATACAGTACACATACACATACAGTATACACGTATACATACATACACACACATATACATATACATACTGTACATATAGACACATACATACATGTACACACATATACATGTACGTACATATACACACATATACATACATGTAGACACATACATACATATACACACATATATACATATAGATACATATATACACATATATAGATATATACACATGTACATATATACATATATACACACATATAGATATCCATAGATATCCACATATATACATATAAATAAATACATTATACATGTGTGTGTGTGTGCGTGTGTGTTTATGTATCTGTGTGATATGAACACATGCGTCTGACAGTATTTTAAGTCACTGCTGAGCACAGACAACGTTCACGTCACATGACACTCGTTTCTTCATCTGATGTTATGTGTGGTGATATTTGAAACTCATTTCCACAACATTACACGGTGATGATCAGTATCTGTTTTCCACCTATGGTTCTATCATGCTTATCATCATCACAGACTCTACACCAAGCACACAGCGGCAGCAGCAGAGTTCCTGTCAGTGTGACCGTTCCTCTGTGATGACCACAGGATGACGTGATCAGACCGTGGAGAAAACACACACTTTCTTTGAAAAGATCTACCATCCTTCCATCCACTGCTTTAACCACTATGTCATCAATCCTCATTCAATGTAATTCTGCCTCCACGTAATCCCCCCATCTCTCCCCAACCACTCAACCCCCCCCCACCACCACCACACCACCACACCACCACACCACACACCCGCCCCCAAATCTCATCTCTTTTATATCTTGTCCTTTCAGCCTCTAATTCTCACGCAGCTGCAGTGCTGCTGTGTTTTCTTCACAGATATACGTGAGGAGAGACAAGTCGACACAGGAAGCTCAGCGACAGCCTGAACAGCTGAGGAGCAGAGGTCACGCTGAACTGAAAGGCACAGCATAAAGGTGCCTTTAGAAAAAAATGAGAACAAACGGACAAACAGGAGGAAATGAGGATCGTGTGGCAGCGGAGGCGCTGAACACAGAAGGAATGAGATCAGGGATGGAATAATGAGACGAGAGAAGAACCAAAATCACAGAGGAATTAGATAAGGAAGAAAAACCTGTTCACAGACAGATGAACAAAGCCCCCTGGTCCTTTCACTTTGGTTTGTCCCTCCAGCTGTAACAAAAACTCCAAATCTGAAACCCATTTTACTTAGACCTGGGACTTATCGACAACCCAGACCTGGACCAGGCAGAAACAGCCACAAGTCACAAGTCATGGAGGAAGAGGATTTTAGATTTTTAAAATAACACTATATTAACAGTAGGTGTAAAAACTGCAAAGCCTACAAGAAAAAAGAGGAAGAAGAAGAAGATGAGCTCAGCCCTGTCTGGTAAATAAAAGATCTATTTCTGGAGCAGAGAAGGAACCAAATACACATCAACCTGGACCAGCAGATATGAATAACTTTGGAGAAGAAAGGAGAAGTGAAAGAGATAGATGGATGGATGGATGGATGGATGGATGGATGGTTGATGGATGGATGGATGGATGGAAGGATGGATGATGGCTGGGTGGATGATGGCTGGGTGGATGGATGGATGTATTGAACTCCCAGGTTATTGTTGTCTCATGTGATGGAGACTTGTTCGTCCTCACCTGCTGTAGTAGAGGACACAGCAGTACAGACAGAGACTGACTCGGACTTCTTTGTCACATTCACACGTCTGTTGCTCCATCTTTTCTACGACTGAACTCTGTTGACTTTTTTAACTCCGTCTTCTGATCTCTTCATTCGAGTGCAAAGACAAATGTGTCTTTTAACAGGTGGACAGACAGAGACAGACAGAGACAGACATTGTACTGTGTAGATGGACAATAAAGGTTCTATTCTCCCGTCCATTTCCTCTGTGTTGTCAGTGGTACACTCTGGTGCCACACACTCAGCACCAGAGGAGAGCAGCAGAAAAAAGACGATTGTTAGAGACTGTTAGTCCAATTCTGAGCTGCAAGTCTGAGCGTCAGCTCTGAGGGACCGTGACACTGCAGATATGTGATAATAGAGATCGTCCACTGATGACGTTCCCTAACAGACCACAGTTTGCTGCAGCAGCTACAGTCAGTGGCAGCAGCTCAGTACAGTAACACAGCAGTAGGTCAAACGGTGACTCCACACACACACACACACACACACACACACACACACACACACACCGCCGCAGCCACAGCCGCACGGCCGCGCCGGCAGGACACCACCGCGAGCAGCAGCAGCAGCAGCAGCACGTACAGAGGAACACGCATCAATTATTAACAGCTTTGTTTCAACTTTGTTTGCCTTCCTCCACCATTTCATTAACTGGACTCAGTCAAACATGAACGTTATTGATTTGGAATCACTGACTGTTAGATCAAGAACGATCGCTCGAGGGAGCTAAAGTCAGGCCCTGGAAGACTGAGTGGAACTGAGATCAGGGAGACCGTGCTGCCCTGGAAGAAGAGACGACAAACAGTCACCAAGGTGTGTGATATGACTGACTGACTGACTGACTGACTGACTGGAGGCAGTGTGGACCAATGTCAACAGGAGGAGCTCCTGGTAATGTGGAATCTGGTTGAAATGACAACTTTGTAATCATGACATACATACATACAATACATATGTATGTATATATATATATATATACACACATTTATATATACATATACATACATATATATGTATATATACATATATGTACATATATATGCACACACATAAATACATATATCAACAATCGCTCGCTCGCTCTCCCTCTCTCTCTCTCTCTCCCCCCTCTCTCTCTCCCTCTCTCTCAGCTTTCTCTCTTTCTTTCTCTCTCTCTCTCTCTCTCTCTCTCTCTCTCTCTCAGCTGTTTCTCTGCTCTCTCTCCTTCTCTCCCTCTCTCTCTCTCTCAGCTGTCATATCCTTCAGCCCTGGCTGCTCTGAGCCAGTTGTTAGACTTGACAGTTGAGACAGTTTTATGAATGCAAAACACAGAGCTGCCACAGGAATACAGTTAAAAAGACAGAAAAAAGACCAAATTCCACAAAGGGCCGCAAAGCATTAAAAAAGAAATTACCATAATTTCAGCATACTGAAATATTTATTTTTTTCATTCTAATATTTTTTGCTCAGTTTACCACACAAGTTCATCGTTTTCATCGTTCCATTTTAGATTGAAGGAACAAAAGGACAGAAGATTCCAGGAGAAATTCATGTTGTTGATTCATGACGGACTGATACAACAACAACTCTCCAACAACACCAACCTGCACGACCTGCATCATCATTATACTGGCCGGCCTGGCAGCAGTCACGACCTCCTCATGTTGAACACACTCGTCAGGTGCATCATGAGTGAAGTATTTGACTATCACAGCTACAGTTTCACTTCAAACACCGAGGGATTCCTCAGGTCCAACACCTGAGGTGACCCAGTAGAAACCTGCTGTGTCTAAACACATGGACCAGACTGAAAAACACACATTTTTACTTCTAACATTTACCGTCGCCCCGGTTGGAACACGCTGTAATGTAGCTGTGAGTGTCCGGTTCTTCACATTTGTTTTTAACAAATATAAAATAAAAAATGTACTTACAGGAATATGAAGAAACCACCAGCAAAACAAAGTAACAAAGTGTCCAGCTCTCACCCAGCTGCTGTCAGACTGTTGTTCAGTTCTGACCAATCAGCTCACAGGAACCACCTGACCAATCACACACCTGCTACTGGTCCCACTAACGTGAATGCAATTTTTTTTTTTTTTTTAATGATGTTCAGTAAAAGTATTTGTGGCTGCTGTACTACTTCTTGCTCACGAGCAAAATTCCTCACATTCTCTAAAATGATCTTTTTTTATTGAACAGAATTTACCTTCAAGGAAATTCTACTTTCTTTCAGCAGATAAACTCCCTCTTATTTCTGTTGTGGCATCTAAATCCAATTCATTATGATGATACTGTGACATTGTAAAAGGATCAGATTTTAGGCGGGTGGTTAGATGTACTTCAAGTAACAGACAGTGAAGGATGTAGGTAAATAGTATGTGAACTACTCTTAGTTCACATATTTGTAAAGTAACAGATCCCTTTAGTTATCTGTTATGTTTTTAGTTCACATCATCGGAGGGCAGACCGGTGACTAAAACTCCAGCACACATTCAGAGTTCAAACACAGCGGTTGGGCAGAAAGTAAGACATTTATTTATTATTTTTTAAATTCTTATTCAAACAGTGCTTAAGTGGAAATACAGTTGATTGCATCATGGGATTAGACAGTATATTTTCAGTTGCTTTTAACCACGACAGGAAGTCGTGAGGAGAAACATTAAATGTTACGTCGAAGGATTTCCTTCAGCCTCGGCTGCAGCAGCTCCTGTTCTCCTCCGTCAGTGTTGACTGCACACGAAAAGACAGACTGACAACAGAGAGAGAGGGAGGAGGAGGAGGAGGAGGAAGAGGGAGGAGAGGGGACGACACGAGGGAATGGTTAGAAAACTCCAAACCAGGAAAGAACTGAGCGTCACCACCTCTGTGTCACGTTGAACTGTCTATGATACTGGACTGTGGTTTCAATCCTGATATATACAAATATATGTGTATATATTGAAATATACAATATATGTAGTGTACATATATACACACATATACTGTATATATACGTATATAAACATATATATACATATATGTACATATACATATATAAACACTTCTATATACATACATATATAAATATATATGTACATTACTAATAGATCACTGATATTTTTAATACAGATACATATAAATATATTTATAAACACATTTCTATATATATACACACACGTGTACATATGTGTATATATTCATATATATATGTGTGTATATATATATATATATATATATATATATATATATACTGTATATACACACTACTGATGCATCTCAGATATTTGTAATACACGTACTCTTAGAGAGCAGATTCCCCATTACTACACCTACACCTCACAGTATATCTTTGATTCATAAATATTTAATCCGGAGTCTTAAATAAACAACACTGTATGCCCAGTACACAACAAGTACTACTTGTTGAGTTCTCCGCACGTACATAAAAAGGATTGTTCATGGAAAAAGGCTGCAGTAATATATATATATATATTTTTTTTTTATTAATGTTTTCACAGTACATGGTTGATGAGTCAACCAGTTGACAGTAATCGACGTCTCAATGATGTTTATTTTATTTACTGGACAGATTTCCTGTGGTATTAACACACCTGAATCATTGAAGTGTTTACCTGCCAACCTCAATGCAGTACGTCGGTGCTGACATACACAGAATACCCACTCTACACGAGTACTTCCCACTTACATACTGAACATACTTGACTCTGAAGTCAAGACAAAACAACATTAAGCACAGGCAGACGCTGACCACCTTTGTCCTGGAAACAAAGATGGCCGTCAGGGAAGACTAGTTTGCAACTTAATGACAGCAACTTTGACTTCCTGTTGGAGGACGACGTCTTTAACAAGACCTAATCTATTTATCTAGTTTCATTTTCTCTGTCTTCTCTGCTGTGCTGCCACAGAGCTGAGCTGAGAGAAACCTCTCCGCTGAAAGTACTGCAGTACAGTCAGTACTAATGTCTTCTGCACCACTACTTCAAAATTCATGAAAATGCTCATCTTGTGGTTATTCTAGTAAAAGGTTTTTACTGAGAGATTGGACATCATTTGTGTCAGTTGTAGGAAAAACCTCCTGTTGGAGGTTTATAATAATCCCACTGGATTATCTGGATTATCACACAGCAGTTTACACACCTGGGTTAGTTGATGTCCTTCTTCAGGTATTTCTTCATGACTGAGGCCACGTCGCCTCCCTCACTGCCCTCTGCCTCCAGTCTCTCTCCCTGCGGCCTCTGAAACCTTAGCCTCGACCCACCGCTCTGGGAACTTCCTCCTGAGCCGCCTGAACTGGACGACTCCGTCTCAGAGCTCCTCTTGCTGCGTGTGGTCGGCAGCTCTCCGAAGTGGACGCTCAGTGCCCTCCTGCCTCCTCTGACTGAGCTAGCTAGGCTGCTGGTGGACTGAGCTCTGCGAATGGCGGGCAAGATGTCGGATGCCGAGTCGTCATAGCCGTTGTCCGCGGTCAGTCTACGATTTTGGAAGACCATACTTTCTGAACCAAGAGTGCCTTCACCTCCGTCTTCTGTAACAAGCATCCCCGGCAGGCGTCGCCTTGGCGGCTGTGGCGAGCGTTGGATGGGATTATCCAGTGAGAAGTGGGGCTCGTCTGGGTCCTCCTCAGGAATGGACAGGGAGGGCGGGTGATGGCGAGAAGCTTGGGGTGAAGCCAGGGAGGAAAGCCTGGGCAGAGAGGGAAGGGAGGACAGAGAATCACTTGAGTTGAAGCGTGACAGTTTGGCAGCGGCGGTCGGCTGAGAGTCCATGATGGAGCGAGAGCTGGCAGCACGGGGCAGGTTTGGAGAAGACGGTTTGAGAATGCTGGGTCCAGGTTTTGGCTCCTGGAGTTCATCTGGACCCAGAGAGAGGGCGGACGATCGTCGCCTCAGAGTTGAGGCTCCGGTTGTCTGGTATATTGGCAGAGAGACAGTGCTTCCATTTTCATCTCCTTTGTCGCCACCAGCTCTGCGTTTTCGGAGTCCGTCCAGCAGTTCGGACAGGGCAGAGGAGGACGGGGCCCGGTCGAGACCTCTGGTATTGCCGGCCTCAGAGCCTTCATCATCAGGATCCACACAAGATCTTTGGAAGAAAATATATTTTTTTTCAAATGCTGGTTTATTAACACTGTTCTTACAGATTGTTTTAAACAAAAAAAATGTTGGACTAGATAGAGACAATATCTGTCTATAGCAGTGATTGTAACCATAGGGCCACCGGCGCCACCAAGTGGGCCGCAAAAAAACTTTCAGTTTTGCACTTGTGGGGCGCAAGGGCTACAGGACAGCATAGGTTATCAACTGACGTCACCAGAGATATGAGAAGCTCTCTTACAATGCAGCTGTTGACCACATGGTGGCAGTAATGCATCAGTCAGTTCTCTAACAAGCTCCAACATACAGAGAAGAAGACCGTCTTCTAGGCTACACTAGCTGTAGCAAAAAGTATGTTTTTGAAACCAGTGAAACCACTGAAGTTTTAAGAGTATAGACTTAAGAGCGCATGTGTCAAACTCAAGGCCCGGGGGCCAAATGTGGCCCACCAAGTCATTTTCAAGTGGCCCACGGAAGCTTAAAAAACATTTATTTAACCTGATAAATTAAAGTTTTTTTTTATTACACAGCAATGAACGATATTACTAAAGTAACTTATATAAATAATAATCAATTCCAGAAACATTTATTAATACGCTATGGAGTACTTACATCTATACAGACTTCAGGGGGAACTGTACTGCTGATGTGGCCCCTGGTGAAAATGAGTTTGAGACCCCTGACTGAGTGTCTCCTCGAAACTCTTCGCCTAAAATACTCTAAGAGATTGAACTTTAGCCATTATTGTACTGATGTTCTGGAATGATCTACTAATACATTCCAAAACCAGTGGGCAAAGATGGGAAAATGAGGCTGTGAGTCTGTGCCTTCTTCAATGAATCGTTCAAAGAACCATTTCTTATTCAGCTGACACCACTGAGCCACAGATTTACCACTGTGACCACTGTTACTTCTCAGACTTTGTTTTTTTCCACTCATGCGACACTTGTTTTAAAACAAACATACATCTATGTCTTGACAATGTGTTCTCGATGGTTGTTACCTGAAGCTGTAGGTGCTCATGGTATCAGCTAGAGAATGGCGGCTGCTGTAGGGTGAGCCACCGCCGCGGTGACCTCCTCGTGGTACACCTAACCAGTGACGTATGCCCTGTCCAGCATCCTCTGTCCCACTGGACCCAGCAGTGGACACAGAGTCCCTGAGAGCAGAGCAGATCATCAGACAGTACCACAAACAAGTACGCATAAAAACTTTTGCCTCTACGCTGCCAGACAGAAACAGTGTTAGAGTGAGCTGGCATGCAGCTGCCCGCCTGATGCCAGAGCCTCTAAACTGCCCACCTGTTGGGCCGGCTGCAGCTTAAATACACACTCCATCAGACGTGGGCCCATTTATAATAGGCATCAAAAGCACGTCCCCATTCATTTCTGTCACTGAAGTATTTATATATTACACTAATTAATTTGAGAGTTTGTGCCGTAATCAGCTGTTTTTATTGATCTCCAGCCACCAAAACAATCTGAATGAGAATGAATCCGTTTGGGTCATGATTCAGTTGGACTGGACAGAGATCTACAGATGTTTGACACAGCCAGGTATGATCGATGTTATCATCATCATATTGACAGCCCAAGTGATGATAGTGTGTTGTAAACAATACTTAGGTTAAAATATATATATATGATAAATAGCCATTTATTATAGAATACCACCGTCAGCTCAGCAGCGGCCCATGAACATCAGAAGCCATGCAGACGGCTGTTTTCACCACGATGTTACATCCAGATGTTCACGTCACGGGAAGTGACTCTGGTTTTTTTTTTTTGGTTCTTGGACAAACATTTTAACTAGTGATTATTGATTATTGATAGATTACAGCAGTGAACACCTAAATCGTCATCATTATTTCACTTTAACACATAGTCTTAGGCCAAAGCTTCAGCACAGACACACACACAGATGTACTGTACACAAAGTCTGCACATGTTCATGAGATTCTTACAGATCTTTCTTTCGAGTGAGGGACTCCACAGCAGTCTGAACGCTGCAGTTAGAATCAGAATGATGAGAGGGTGAGGTGTCAACATGCTGCACCACACTATCAGTGCCAAAGTTTTACAGAAGTCTCAGTATCAGATCATTTTTAAATAAATGATTAAAGTATATCATTGGTGAAGAACAGGGTGCAGGCTGGGTAAAATGAGTGTCAGGGATGATTTGTGACAATGGTGAAGAACAGGGTGCTTGGGATGATTTGTGACACAAGAATAACAGCAAAGGTTTATGAGGCAGTAGTGAGAGCTGCTATGATGTATGGTTTAGAGACAGGTTCTCTTTCTTATAGAGCCTGTGTTGGAGGAGAAGATGTCCACTGGGAGTGACCAGGGTGGACAGGATGAGACAGGAGCAGATCAGGGGGACAGTTAACAGAGGGTGGAGGAGCTGACAGACCAAAGGATAATAGGACGACAGCAGAGAAGATTCATGGATGCTGGAGAGAGAGTCGGTGTAACTTTGGAAACACCTGAGGTTGTGAACCAATGAAAGGCGACCAGACAGGTCCAGTACTGTTTCTACGAAACTGTGGTCAAATGTGGTGCTCATAGGGCTCGTGACTGATCAATGTGAAGAGTGTAGAAGGAAACCGACCATTTGACGACAGTGTTAGAGACAGCTGACGTCTGTGGACGCCGGCCTTTTTAGTTTAATCCCTGAATTCCAAAGCAGCCCAACCACCTGCTACCGTGCGATACCTTTCTGTGTCACTCTCATCGCTCGACTCCACTTCTTCCAAAGCTGCCTGCAGATCCACTATGCGGCGGATGGACGTCTCAAGGTCAGCCTGCAGCGTCTGTCTGACGGCAGTCAGCTCCTCCACCCGCATTTCCTGTGAACAAACAAAGGAGACGTGTCCACCCGGGGACAGAGCAGCCATTCAGCCACAACGTGTTCTTTCAAATCACTGACAACCAGCGATCAATCCTTTACAGCAATCACCTGGATTCTCTCTGACATGAACCCATCTGTCAGAGAGCAAACGCACTGACACACGCTGGCTCATGGAGGAGCCTGAGGTGCAGATACACACACACACACACACAAACCAGTTGAAACTATTGGTTTATAAAATCACCAGTGACGTTGCTGCTTTTGTGGAGAGACGACAAACAGCCTCTCTCCCTCGTTCACACACACACACACACACACACACACACACAGACTTTAGCCTATAGATGTTATTGACTTTGTTGGCTCCAGTGTGACAGGTGTAGATGCAGCAGTTGTCATAGTGACACACACACGGTCAGTATTCATGTGTGTGTCTGTGTGTGTGCATATGTAACCTTGAGGAGACAATAAAGATTAATCACATTCAGAGAACAAAAGAGGACGAGAGAGAGATGACGTGAAGAAACTGATGGCGGTGGGTTAAAGAGGAGTTCTGGTGAGAGAGAGGGAGAGGGAGAGAGAGGGAGAGAGAGGGAGAGAGAGGGAGAGAGAGAGAGGGAGAGAGAGGGAGAGAGAGGGAGAGAGAGGGAGAGAGAGAGAGAGGGAGAGAGAGAGAGAGAGAGGGAGGGGGAGAGAGAGAGAGAGGGAGGGGGAGAGAGAGAGAGAGAGGGAGGGGGAGAGAGAGAGAGAGGGAGGGGGAGAGAGAGAGAGAGGGAGAGAGAGAGAGAGGGAGGGGGAGAGAGAGAGAGAGGGAGAGAGAGAGGGAGAGAGAGGGAGAGAGAGAGAGAGGGAGGGGGAGAGAGAGAGAGGATGTGTGTATAATCATTGTACTTCCTCCTCCTTCCTTCCACTGGTGAGGAGCAGGAGCGACCTGTGGCTGTGAACGTGAGCTGACAACAGTTCCACAGTTACACAACACACTCCTGTTTTCAAACCTCAGGTTCTTGGCTCGCTCTGTGTGTCGTCAGACCGACACTGATCAGAAATCACAACACACCAGTGACGTCTGAAGGAAACTTAAGTCGTTCTTCCTCTTTACTAATTATTATTATTATTGTCAATTTAACTGCAGTGATCACAACGGTCGGTGCCGACCAGTTGAGGCAGACCCCCCCACTCCACCAGTGTATAGACGGGGGTCCGGTCTACAGGGTCACTAACACCTGGTTTTCTGGACTGACATGAGGAGAGAGGTTGGTGGTTCACCCTGTCCTCTCACTCTAATTCTTCCCACTTGTTCAGTTTCTGTGTCAGCCTTGGATGAATCCGTTGTGATCTTTACATCTGTTCAATGTCCTGACAGTTTTGACAGAATGTGACCTGCTGACCTTTTGGTTACATGGACCAGGCTAATGACTGGTCACTTCATGTAATAGTGGGTGCTCGACAACATGGGGGGGTGGGTCCCCTCTGTGGTCTCAACTACAATGCCACGTGAAGAGGCTCCTATTGGACAATCAAGCTGTAATTACTTTGTGTTGACCAGTCACATTCAGGCTCTTATTTCTACTTTATCTCTCCTTCTGTTCATGTGCAAATGAATTTTGCAAGACAAAAACACATTTTGTAGAGTAGTAGGAAATAGTACTTGCAACCGCAGGATAACTACGGTACTGCATCAAAGTCAGTGGAGTTCTGTCTGTGGCTTCACCTTCATGGTCTCCAGGTCCTTATTGCTCTGATAATGTCTGTTATTACATCAGTGCGTTCACAGCAGCAACTGCGAGATGTGGGATTATTTATACTGCAGTAAAACTGAATGTATTTGTGAATGTATTTACCAACTCCAATCGTTTGCGGCTGCTCTCCTCCTCTCTGTGGGTCAGCTCCTCCATCTCTATCCTCATGTCCTGCAGGCGCTGCTGGTAATAGCAAGCATTCTCTCTCTCCCGAGCCTCAGCCTGGGCACTCTGCTCCAGTTCTTCTCCCAGACGAACCACGCTGTCCCTTAAACGCAGCACCAGCACCTGCACAACACGTCCAGGTGTGAACCAGAACTCAGAGAAGAGAGAAACACCTGCGTGTTGGTGACAGCCTGACAGCCGTCCTGAAGATCTGGAGCTCATGGTCAACACTGCAGTATAATCTTGCTGCTGGTTTTTAGCCAACAGAAAACCAGCAACAAGTTGACCTGGCACCAGTCTTATAAACGTGATGAGATCACAAAGAAACATCACACGACCGTCCAGACGATGGGTTTGTTCTGTTAACACAGGTTTCTGGATTTTTGTAGGATGTAAAAAGTGACGGTTCAGATATTTTTTTAAAGAGGAGGGGAAATACATTGGGACAACTACAGTGCCCAGCTCCCATGATAATGAAGAAACTTCGTATGTCCACTAGAGGGCCCTTAAACCCTGCCGTGCTCAGGCCCCTAATAAAGGCTTGAAAAATAAATGATCTCACCTCAAACCTCTTGACCTGGCCTCGTTGAAACTCCAGCTTGTTTTCCAGGTCACATACACGAGCCTCCTGCTTACTAACAATGCTACGCCCCACAGTGGATGACTCCAGGAACTGCACTTTTGACACCGACTTTTGAAGCTGAATCATGAAAGAAAAAGTCAACAAAGACAAGTCAGTGTCACCCACCGTGTTTTTAGTAGTAATTAAAAGTAATTCAATCTAATAATTAATTTTATGTTTAAAGTAACAGTTTTTTTCAAGCATTACACTTTTGTTTCATGTTGTTTTGGAACAAGAAACCCTGGCTTTAGAACGAACCTCCTCCTGGAGAGACTGCCTCTGCCTCCTGATCTCCTCCAGTTCAGCCTGGAGCTCTCTGATTTGAGAGATGTCATTGGACGACTGGACAGCAGTGGGAGAACGAAGCAGATCAGTCAGTGATGACCACAGAGAGAACACAGAGTGTGTACGGTGTGTACTGACACTGCACCTGAGCAATCAGAGCTTTGTGCTTCTCCATGAGGTCATTGAGGTCGTCCTGGTCTTCCTCCAGCCTCTTCAGCAGGTCCGTCTTCTCGTGCTGAAGCAAGGCCAGCTGCTCGTCCACCTTGACACACACACACATACAATTACAATTACTCAATTCTAAAAAAGAGGATTGTGTCACTGCTGTCTGGTTTGTTTCAGGAAATATCAAACTATGTGCAACTTGATGTAGTCATGAATGTAATTTGATAATCGATCAAAACTCCAACTGTAATATCAACTGTATGTGGAATTGTTTTTAAACTCACCACACTCTTCTGCTTGTAGATGTTTTCCAGCTCAGTCTGAATACTCTCCAGCTCCTGAGAGAGGGTTGTCTGAACGCTCTCAGCCTCAAGACGCCGGGCTTCACTCTCTTCCAGCTAAGTGGAGACACAGCAGGTCCACAAGTATGCTTTTTTTTTTTTTATTTTATTTTTTAAAAGAAAGCACAGCCAGGCGTAGCACATCTGAGTAAATCTGTGATATAAACTAACTCACTGTACCTGACAGTGGAGGCGCTCGATCTGCTCCTTGCTGCCGTTGGGAACACTCTGCCCTGCACTGTCCACGGTGGCCAGGAGCAGCTGGGCATCAGCCAACAGGGCATGGGTCCTCTTCAGATCCCTCCTCAGTTTCTTCTCCACATCGAAGTCTCTGTGTCCGACCTGCAAAGTAACAGATCTAAGACTAATCCTTCAATGACAAATTCAACACAACAACCAATGAAAGAATAACAGAAGCAGTGAACAGAGACACAGATAATTCATCTTAAAGACCAACTTCAGTCACAAGACTCACACTCATACTCATACGGTCTGTCATCAGAGGGCCGCGGTGCGAACTGTATCTACCAACACAACTGTCATGGACATACAGAGAGGTTCTAATGACCACCCGGTCAAAAAGGGATTCCCTTAACAGCACCAAAAGAATTATTCAACTATTTTTATACAATTTTAAACGATCCATGATAGATTATATATATATATATATATATATAAACATCGTATTCCTCTCTGGTCGTTTCTACATTATAGCTACATAAATGAAGTAACTAAGAAAATATTGCAGAAGGATTTTTGCACTCAATTTCATCAAATGTACTCTGTCAAATGTACCTCTATCTATCAATGTGGCTCCACTGAGGTCAAATTTGAATCACCAACCTGAAACTCTTCTTCTTTAATTATGAGCTTTGCTTCTCCACAAAATAATTCTTTCTAAAAGATCAATTTAATATTCATATATACTTATAATCAGAGTATAATCTTCAAATCTTCACAGATTGGGGAAAAAAATGGGGAAAAAAAAGCATACTTATTACACTTACACATTCTTCATTTAATGTTAACGAACTTGTCATTAACCAGACATATAAAACTTACTTGGTTAACTTGTCATTAACCAGACATATAAAACTAAGAAATGATGTTGATTGATTTCCAATCGGAGTTTCACTGGTGACGATCAGCTACAGCTTCACTGACAGTGATTTATCAAGAGTTTCCTTCAAACAGGACTACTAAACATGTACGAGACTGAGGTTACACTCGGGTGAAAAAAATAATTATTCATTTTTAATGCAATATGTATGTGTGTGTGTGTATGAGTGTGTGTTAACATTCATTTTTAATGCAATATGTATGTATGTGTGTGTATGAGTGTGTGTTTACACACCTGGTCACACAGAGTGGCGATGAGTCCCTCTAAGTCGTGCTTCTCATGAATTACCATCTGTTTCTCTTCATACTCCTGCTCTAGCTGCATCTCCAACTGCTTCAGCTGTACACACACAGTAACAGCATAAGATAAACAATCTGAGAGAAAATATTTTATTGTGACTAACAAGAAGAGGATCCTAAAGCAGAGTAGAGTCATCTGAGTGGAGGTGTGAAAGATTTAGACTTTATTCTAAAACCACTCCTGGTATGTCTCAACATTTATGACTTGACTGATGCAGTAGTGCTGCTGTTCCAACACAGACCATCCATTATTAATCTGCGTGTCTGTCTACCCACCCGTCTCTGGGACGACTTGTGCACATCCTCCAACTCCTCCTCTTTATCCTCCAGCTCCTTCTGGTGAATCTGCTTCATCCTCTCCATCTCCATCTCAAACCTCATGTGAATCTGATTAAAACGACACAGGAAGTGAGACACACTGTGTCAGGTGAACAGGATCCACCTGAACGTGTGTGTGTGTGTGTGTACACATACCTGCTGCTGCTGTTGGATCCTGGCAGAAAGCTGGGTAACTTCCTCCGCCCTCTCGCTGGCCTGGCCCTCCAAGAGTCGCAGCTGTTTCTTAAGATCAGGGAGAGAATCTGATGCCAAGTCCACGGGCAGACTGAGGTCCCGTATCTGAGCACACAGCTCCTCCTTTTGCTTCTGCAGACGACAAACCTCCGCCTGGCTCTCCTGCATGAACCCACACCCAGGTGACACACTTCCTTTTTGTTCTTAGTCAGATTTGGACATTTGCAGAACTTTTTTTTTGTGTAAGCCCTGAGTGGAAGTGGTGGTCGAGAAATATACGAGTTTGTTGATTGGGATCGTTCAATACAAGTTTATCATGTCTGATACTGATACTGCAGCTTGGAGTATCTGCCAATGTCAATATGAATCCAATACATGTTGTCTGATCCGGCACGCTGCAGGCATCTACTGTCTTAGCCTGATTTAGCAATTACGGACACTGTTATTATTTTAACATTTTAATCAAATCAAACAACTGACCACAGCAACCAAATCAAATAAATAAAGTCAACAATACGTCTTTGTTTGGCATTCAGAAAAAACAAGTGGCTGTTGGCTGAAGATACGGTTCTCCGTGACAGGAGAACTTTAGGCTTAGTTATAACATCGGGCGGACTAGAATTGGTTTTTTTTTCAACATTTGATCCTGAAAATTTGCTGATTATTGGACCTTCTCCGTTCCACAGTGTCAGATCGATCCATCCCTACAACAAACAAAAAGACGAAACATACCTGAAGGTTGCGACGCAGAGTGGATATTTCAGAACCAAGAGATGTGTTTTCCTGAAAGACTTTTTCTTTCTGTTCCCGCTCATTATGAGCCTCCTCCAGAGCCTGAGTCAACTCATTGTCAAACCTGAGCAGAACGGGTTAAAAAAAAATTACTAAAAGAAAAATGCAGTCTAACGGTTCAATGAGGCCAGTTGTCACATAAAAACTGGAATATTGGCAGAAAAATGAAAAATATCACAAAAGTTACGACCGACAATTGGGCAAGTTTGAGTTAGTCAGTTTTAGGGCAGCTGTTCAGAAATAAATATTGTTTTCTGAGTAAAAAATAACAACAGAAACAGAGGAGCAGGTAAACATGAGAACAGTAAACGTTTATCTTATTTTGGTGGGAGAGTCTGGTCCAAGTAAAGAAACCAAGCTGCTGTAAAACCTGTCCCAATAAAGGCTTTTAAAGACCACAGAGATTGCTGACTAATGATTTCTGCCAGCTCACTTTAGTACCAGCCGTGAACGTTTCCTCACAGTGAAACTGTTTCTGCTGTAACATTCTGTTCTACTCAGCAGTCAACACACACTTTGTCCCTTCACAGCCCAAACAGAGTGTCACGTACTGATGACAGCTAGCACTGTTGTGTCACGTACTGATGACAGCTAGCACTGACCTCCTCCGTTTGCGCTCTAGGTCGTGGATTCGGCTCTGCAGGCTGTCTGTGAGGACACGAGCGTCTTGGAGGTCAGAGGTCACCCGGCGACGGTGCCGCTTCAGATCAACCACACTCCTCCTGGACTGTTCCAGCTGGGCCTGCAGCGCTGCCACCTGCACACACCAACACAGATTAGGTCATTGTGGTCACACACACACGGGGTCAGTGTTGGCAGCACAAGAGCATAAGGTCAATCTAGAGTTTTGAATGGATGTCAAGTGTGAAACCAAACCCAGAGAAGAGCAGCCATGACTGGACAGATCTGTGGGTCCACAGCCTGCAGCCCACCTGTAGGACCGCCACTGTTCACGTCCTGCCTCACCTGTGTATCCAGCTGTTGCCTCGTCTTCCTCTCCGTCTCCAGTTTCTCCTCCATCTGCTTCAGACGTTTGCGGACAAACTCGACCTCTGTCTGGCAACACTCCAGCTGCATCGCCAGGTCGCTCTCTGTGACGGAGAAGTGACATTGATGGTGACGGGTCCAAAACTGAGGTGACATTTCTGTCTCTTTTCTCAAGGTATAATTTTAAGAATAAAAGAAAAGAGACTTGTGTAAAGGTGAATAGAGTGATTCAAGAGAAAACCAATTGTAAAAGACACTTTTTTTTTTGAAGTAATAGAATGGGTTTTTTAGTTTTGACTTGGAGGCATCATTCCTACAACAGTGGAAAATAATGGAAGTGTGTTTGCCTTAGCCTACACTCTTATGAATAAGACAAAATACATTTTTGTTCATCTGAAAGTTCTTGTCCATTTTCCACTGGGCAGTGTCCAGTTACCTGACCCCACTGCCCTCTGACTCTCAGCCTTCTCTGCCCTCTGCTTCTCCTCCTCCAGCTGCTTCTCCATTGTTTCCATGGACACTTTACACTGGTCAAAACGAGCCTGGAGTTTGAAGAGGAAGAAATGTGAAATAAACAGCACATTGATTCACTGCTTCAAGGAGACGAACAGGAGGACGTGGTGTGGATTAGACAGACCTGCAGGTCTTTGTTTTCACGACTTAGTCTCAGTCTCTCTGCCCTCTCCACGTCCAGAGCCTGTCCGACAGCATCACCACGGAAACGCTCGTCACTCAACTCAGATGTGACAGCGGTGACCTGTGCCCGACATCATGACATGAGGAAAATGGACAAACGTGGGAAGGCAAAAAGATTTGTTTCTTTTATTGAAACTGAAAAAATATGAACTGTTTTATTAAGGCAGGTTGTTTCCTGATCAGAAAAACATCGAGTTCAACGAAGAAGGAATTCTCTGATGAAAGTGCTTGTAGTTTTAAATGCAGGATGTGGAGAAATAAACCACAGCTAAAATAAGGAATCTTATAGAATCCTAGCATTCTCTTATTTATCAAATATGTATCAACTATATATATATACATCATCTTTACCAACCTGTGTGTGAGTGTGTGTGTGTGTGAGTGTGTGAGTGTGTGAATCAGTTCTCTCAGCTCTCACAGACCTTGGTCTCCAGGCTGTCTGCAGTCTGCCTCAGCTCATTCCTCTCCTTCTCTGATTTCTCCAGGCGACGTCTCAGAGCCGACACTTCGTCCTGAAAAATGAGTCCAGAACCAGTCTGGTATTATACCGTTTCATCTTCCACTCCTGACCATGACCACTGGGCCCTTATTCACCAGACTGTCACACACAAATGATTGCATTACAAAAGTTCTTTTTTTTTGTTTTTTTACCATCCATCTACTAAATCATATAGAGTGAACGGCGTCAACATACCAGTTTAATCCGTCCCACAACAGCACTCGTATGTCCATCACTTGCATTTCCCATTAAAAATAACTCACGAGGAAAATCTTGTAACTTGGAAAACTCGTATTTCAGGGAGCTCGTACCACTGTGTTTATGTGATCTGTATGTCTTCAGATATTATTCTGAGAGAAACCTCAAAACAAATTCTCTGTTATGTCCACATGACAACATACTGCATGTTGTCAGAGCGATACTTCATTCAAATACTCATTGTCATATTTTTAAAAAAATCTGGTGATCCAGGAACCCAGTGGCAGGTGATTCTACTGCAGTTCAAGGGACACGGTGTTTTCATGGGTATTTGCTGTTGGTGTGAAAGCTCTGCTCACTTTCTGTTCAGGTGTTTGAACTACACACAAGACTGACGCACAGTTAGTTGAGCACTGTCTGTGAGCACCGTCTGTGAGCACTGTCTGTGAGCACCATCTGTGAGCACTGTCTGTGAGCACCATCTGTGAGCACTGTCTGTGAGCACCGTCTGTGAGCACTGTCTGTGAGCACCATCTGTGAGCACTGTCTGTGAGCACCGTCTGTGAGCACTGTCTGTGAGCACCGTCTGTGAGCACTGTCTGTGAGCACCATCTGTGAGCACTGTCTGTGAGCACCGTCTGTGAGCACTGTCTGTGAGCACCATCTGTGAGCACTGTCTGTGAGCACCGTCTGTGAGTGCTTGTGCACCTGTGGCCTCACCTCCTTCATCTTTAGCCTCTCGTTGTCCATGTTGACATTGAGCAGAGGACGAAGGAGACAGAAAAGTTTCCACCAGCTCCACGTGGACACAGCCCTCAGAGCCCTCAGGTTTCTCTGCAGACAGCTGACTGCCATCTGCTGCACCTGGAGACACACACACACACACAGACAAAGTGAAGGACATTGAGGACAGAGAATACCGTGGTTGTCTCAGCATTTTGAAATCACTTAATCAGGACAGGGTGAAAAAACTGCAGTATTTCGTATCATAGAATTTGAGAGGGTGGTAGAATCCAAGACTGCCCCGCAGACCCTGGGGGTGAGGTAGTCTGTAGTCCATCAGTGTATGGACCTCTGAGTTATATTATATAATATTATATTATATCTGAGTTATATTTTTGAAGCATTAAATGTTCTAGTTAAGTCAGGATTCTGTAAATGTTAAATGTTGTACACAACATTATATTAGGCTGAAATCATTAACATAACTTTAAAGATTACCGGTGTCAGATGGTGATGAATTGGTTGGTGGTCTTGCCTTACACCATTAAGGTCAGGGGTTTGATACAGTGTGAAGGTCGTATGTTCTCCCTGTGGATGTGTGTGTTGTTTCTCAGGTCAAAGAAACACATGCAGGATTAGGTTGATGTTCACACTAAAATGACCATAGGTGTGAACGTGAGTGTGAATGGTTGTTGTCTCCATAGGTGACCCTGTGATGGACATGTCCAAGGTGTGTCCCACCCTCCCCTCCAGACCCCTGACGACCCAGAGAAGATGAAGTGATGAAGCTGAATGAAAACGTTTGCTGATGTAATAAATCATCTGACACTCCAGCACTGCTGCTGCTGCTGCTGCTGCTGCTGCTGCTGCTGCTGCTGCTGCCCGGCCTTGGGCTGGACATTTGTATGTACGGTTTGACAGTAGACAGATGTTAACCTTGAGTTTGCGGTATTTCTGACGCGCCACGTGTCCCTTGCAGGAGGCCTGCAGAAACACCAACCAACCAGTGACCAGCTGGTCCCTCTGTTCTTCCAGGTAGCGCAGCACACCTCTTTTCATAAACACCTGAGGCACAACAGGAAGTGAGTCAATGGACTGCAGAGTTAAGCGTGAGTCGTGCGCCTGTAAGAACAGTCGTCCTCACCCTGCTGCCACCCAGGACTATGCTCTTTTTATCCAGGTCCAACTCCAGCAGCAACTCCTCTACGGCCTGAGGAGAGAACAGAGAGGACACCTGGTGTTGTGATGTTGGCTGAATATCACCAACATGTTGTGTGTATGACCCGTCGTCTGACCTTCCTCTCATCATGGCTGACAAACATTGAAGCATAACGTTTCATAATTGGAGGAGACAGTGCTTGGAAATGACACCTGAAGTCGCTCAGAGTCATGTGATCCGGAAACCCTGGGCAGAAACAGACAGAGATTATCAGCCTGAAACAACGTCATATTACTGAGATGGTCATTTCATCTTCAATCTTGAACATTCAACCAGAACAACACTGACACATCATCCTCTCTTCATATGTTTTTCATTTGAAATACACTAATGGTTTGAAAGCTCCGCTCACTTTCTGTTCAGCTGACTCTAAGTTATGCAGAATGTTATTTTGTTTGTTTTTACCATTTTGATTATTTTTATTCTTAGTTTAACTGGTACATTTTCTCACATGACAACAGTGTCAGATTGAAGAGCTCATGCACCCAATCACATCACATCACATTACCAAAGTGATGGTACAATAATAGTACAGTATATACTTGGTACTTAGTGAAGGATACCCTTGGCACAACCCTAACTGCTTACTATTTGTTAGGACTGACACACATACACACCATGAACATTGTGTATATATATATACATTCATATATATATATATATACAGTATATACATACATATATATACACATATACATACATATATATACATATACATACATATATATACATACATATACATACATATATATACATACATATATATAAATACATACATACATATATATACATAAATACATACATACATACACATTCACACTGATGCTATCAGTGTGAATGTCCTGACCCCTGACCTGTACGGTAGAGCTGCAGGGCCTGTAAGATGTGTGTGGACTGCAGCTGAACTCTCAGGGTGGGGACGTCCAAACTGCCACTCTCGACCTTTGCACTCACACACTGCAGGAACACAGGCTCAGCTCTACGAATCAGGTTGACCAGAGCATCCTGCAGAACAGAGGCAGTGAGGTAATGGAAGCCCAAACTGAGACATATTATGGGATATGCTCTGAGCGTTGAAACAGCAGTACTCACTGCCTGCAGTTTCACTGCAATCGACTGGGAGTGCCTGCGCACGGCGGCCATTCCTCCGCTGAATGTCTTCCTAATGGTGCCATTCCTCCGCAGAGAACGCTGGCTGCTGCCTTCCAACCCCCCCAGCCCCTGACACAGGGGAGGCACAGAGATACGAGGGGTGAACATGGCCTTTACCTCCCCTCTGTGGAGACAAAGACATACATTAGCTGTGAGATTTATGACACGGCATTCATTATGACATGTGTGAATGTTAATTAACTGCAATGCTACGACAAACAAGACAGTAGGACTGGGTTTGGTCATATCAACTAATATTGATTATTTAACAAATGTGAAAGTCGTTTGTGCAGATGTGCACATAAACATAAAATATTCCATTTCACATTTTAGAGTACAGTGAAGGCAAAAAATACAAGTAAGGAATACAGTTTTTAAAATATACAGTACTTGAGCTGAGCTTCCACTTTTAGCAGCATCAGGACAACGTGCCAAAGGTCACATGTCTCCCCTTGACTCTGCCCAGTACAAAATAAATAACCAGATGAATCTGGAAGCAGGGAGGAGAAATAATTTTCCAAAATAACTTTCCTAAAATAACTAGCCATTTCCAGGACATATGACTTTTCTATCTCATTTTCTACATTTTTTTAAATGTGTGCTGGAAAGATTGTCACTTATTTTCCAGGTCTTTCAAGATGCGTGGGAACCCTGCTCTTTTCTCACCATTATTCATCTTACCATTCCGTTAATTATAAGTTGTTTTATTTATTTTTGAGAGGAGCCTGCACATGTGTAAATATTTACTGGGATGTTCAAGTGTGTATGAGACATCGAAGGTTAAAATAGGACACTGGAATATGAAACGAGCTGGACTTAGTTACAGCCGAACCATCAGCTGCTGACCCTGCATGTGACGCTCGTACTCCGAGAAGTGGAAAGACCGAGAAGTGAAGATGAGACTCGAGATTTAAACATTTCTGTTGTTCACAGTGTGTCCTGATCTTTACTCTGGATTGGTATCAATCTGATATTGGTCAAAATGTTAGGATAAAACATAAAAAAAACTAAAAAAAAAACTACAGCCCGTCCGATCTGATACCTAAACCTTAATGCGCAACATGCCATAAATAGGGACAAGGTATCGGTTAATATCTGCATCGGCAGATACTTCAAGTTGCAGTACTGGTATCGGACATGAAAGCGTTGGACTGAGCCTTCCTTAACCTTCACACAAACTCACATTTTGGAGTTTTGCAGCAGACAGTTGGCGTTCAGAGCAGATGGATTGTTCTGGATCAAACCAAACCATCCAGTGAGGTCATAGCGGACAGGGTCACCGCCCATCAGGTGGTTGACCTCACAGTGTAGTGGCTGCTCACACTGACGCACTGCAGGGACACATGGATAATTCACACTCACAAACTGAGAGATTTACTGGACTTGTGTGTGGGGTTTTTCTTCTTTTTCAAATTACCCGTGTTGCTGTAATATTGGCACACTCTCTCCAAGGCTCTGCTTTCACTGGAGGCAGGTGTCATCATCTCCTCATCTAGAACCCACAGTAGACCTCTGCAGTCTCCATCTGCCGCCCTCACCTTAAAAACAACAAGCATTTACCACATTGACACACCTCAAACTAAAAAGAAAAAAAAATGTGTGTGTGTGTGCAGCCTGTGAACCTGAACTAAACAAATGAACCTGCAAACATATAAAGACGTTGATTCTTCTGAGGACATGATTGTTCCCTGTAATCCCTGCTGTATATTTCAGCTGCCCACTGATCAAGTCTTTTGAATTCCAAGGCTGAATGAAATTAATTTGTCTGAGAAAATGCTGATTCATACATTTCACAATAACAAAATGCAAAAGAGATTAAACAAAAAAAAGTCCCCAGTCTTGAATCCCAAAGAGAGCAGATGACTGTTACTCTTTTGTTTGTCTTTTCTGTCTTTTGTGTAGCTTCTGTTTTCAGCCGCACGTCTGCTGCTACAACATGGCCCTTTCATTGACTCATCCTGTTGACTGTACCTGGTATATGTTAGTGTTTTTTTATTATTTAACCTTAAATGATTGTATTACTGTAATGAAGAATACTGAGCTTCAGTGTTTGGTCAGCTTAGATTCATTAGTCACATCATTTCTGCTACTTTGTGACGTCTGTTAGAGCTGCTCAATATAATTCAATTCCACTGTATTGTTGTATTCACCAATGACAGGAAAGACCATGCTACACTTTGGTATGCTAGTCCATGCTGTGCTAAACTGTTCGTTTCTCTATGCTATGTTAGTGGTGTGTTGGTGGGGAACCTGGGGAGGGGCTTGATCAATGGCGGACACCACCTCAGCAGGACTGGTCTCTGGACATTCAAACTCTACTGGGACGTTCTCCTGAAGACACAACAGACCAGAGAACATTTTAAAATGCATTACATATTTACCACACCTACAATCAGGCCTAAGAACTGGATGGTCAGCAGGTCCATTGTCTTTGGATGTTCCAGTTTCATTAGGTTAACAAGACACAATAGACCTAACTGATGGGGAACTAAAAAAAAAACTAAAAAAACAAACAAAACTAAACTCTTCAGCTTCAAGTGTGCTATTACTTCACTATAGTTTGTCATTTTCTTCCCTAGCCTTAGAATCAGCCTATTATAAAACAATACGTCACTACACAGATGGGTGAGAAAGACAAGATTTATGAAACAAAAGGCAAAAAAAACCAAAACTCTTTTTTGTTTATCTTTAGAAGAATGATCACTTTCAGTTACTCCTGTCACCAGGGGTCGCCACAGCATTAACAACAAGGAACTGTTACACTGGACTATACTATAATTATGGTCTGCTCTTGGTCACTGCCTGTCATAATCAGTAGGCGTGTGAGTTTAGACAGCACATCCCTGTGGTGAACTGAGGAAGTGTCCTGGATGTTGTACAGACACAAAATCTCCAGCTAGCCTTCTTGTCCGCCTTCACCGACTAATGATTGTAGCCTGCGGTGAGTTGGCACTGCACATCACCTTGGCGTATCTTTCCAGCGTGTGTGTGAAGGTGTGTGTGTGGTGATGCTCCAGCAGCCTCTCTTGCAGGTAGTTGTGGCAAAACTCCGACCAGCCGGCCGCCTGTTCTGCTGCAGAATGTCGGGGGTTCCTCAGGCCTGGTGTGTCCACCACCATCACAGAGGCCAGGGCCAGCTGCTTTCCACCCAGAGCCCTGCAAACAGCACATTTTGTCTCACATACTGGACAGTCTGTATGTAATGCTGTATATAGATAGTAAACCCAGCAGAGTCGCAGAAAAAAATAAGAAAAATGTCCGAGTCGTGCCCAGACCTGGTGCCTTCAGGAGACCTACATAGGTTAGTCAGGTGTATCAAGGTGCTTTTGCACTGAGCACTTTATGGTCATTTGGCTAAGTTAGCATAGCATCTGTTTGTCTGAACAGTCTGTGCTGAAATTAAAGGAACATAATCTGCAGAGCAGTTTTTTTAGTCTGATTTGCAATTCATCTACTGCCAACTTTACAAACGATACCATCTGTTAAACACTGGCATCAAACCTGATTTATTCTTTACGACCATATATAGGCATTAAAATGTTTCTGTTATTGTTTTTTTTTTATTATTATTATTTTATTTTATTCTCCTCCATCAGATTTCCAGTCTATGAAATAAAAAGTATTATGGTCAACATGCAGCTTCTACTGTAGACCACACACATGGTCTACTTTTTTTGGCCAAAGACTGATTTCAAATAAGACAACATTTATACTGTACACACAAGTTGGTGTGGGTAAAACAAAAACAAAAAACAAACTCAGAAAAAACAATATTCAAATACATATAAAGTGTATGATTTATCTCTTTCTAAAATTATCATTATTAAATTAATTCTATTGATGTTATGTTTAAATGAATGCCTGATTATATCTGATTTTTTTTTTTTTTGTTTTTTTAATCTGACTGACTGACTTTGATCATTTAGTTATTATTTCATTTCTGTACCAAGAATACATTATTCCATAACTGGTCAAACTGCTGGTCAATTTGTTAAGAGGAAGCAGCGACATGCAGTGCACCGACACAAATCAGGGATCACACTGCTGATGTGAAATAATATGAAGCAGGAAGTGTTTTTCAGTTCCTCCTGATGACTCAGTCAGTCAGCAGGGGGCCTCGCTGTCGTTGCATCAGAATATGTGGGAAGATTCTCCTTTAAACATCCGACAACCCCACCTCCACTGCCTGTTTCTAAATCCGAGTTAGAAATAGACGCGTTTCCATTTCCTTTTAGTATCTCCTTGGTGTTTTCTTTATCAGTGAGGAATGTCTTTATTTTTTAGTTTATAATATGTTTTATTCATAATTGTGTGTCTGCGTGTCTACCTGTTGATGAATGAAACAATGGCAGTGAAGAGTTCTTCATAGAGTCCTGCAGCCATTCCTTCAACACACTGAACGGCTGTCAGTCTGGGACCTGCACAGATCAGAGCCAGACGTGGTGACACAGTCAATTTGTATTTTAATAAACATGACAAACTGTGTTAAAGGTGAGCCTGAAGCCTCTCAAAGACAAGACACCTGACAGTCAGCAGGTTTCAAACACGTATCTACACAAACAAGCATGCCACAATAAACATACTTTCAGTTCTGAGATTGTTTGCAAATTAATACGAGTTAAAGTAATCTGATATATCACTATGAATATGGTTGTATGTGGTAAGTGACTCCACCATGTTGTCTTTTTTTGCTCCGTGCTGCGTCTCCTCTGGTGAGCGAACTCTTACCCTCCTCCTTAACTGTGGTCCTCTCTCTGCTGCCCCCGATGGCTCTCTGCAGCAGCTGCTGCAGGTGATGTTTGAACACAGCAGTGTGCAGCTCGTCTCCTTCACAGCCCAGGACGCTGCTGGCCGTCTGAGCGCTGTCGAAATTCAAAAACTGCCTCCTGCCCACTGTGACAAACCAGAGGATGCACTTGTAAAAGAACGTGATCCAAAAGAACACTCTGAAGGTCAGCGTCACAAAGACACAGTGGGAGAAGATTGTGTTGTTAAAAAATATTTGAAAGGGGGAATGCAAATGGGGTCTCTCTCTGCTGCCCCCGGTGGCCCTAAAGTAAGCTACAGTAGTAGTAGTAGGGAGGTTGAAATGCAGTGTTTTATATATAGATTGCATATAATTTACTTGTTTTATTGAGGAAAAGGTTGTTGCAGAATTTGACTTTAATAAATATTAATCCTGTTTGGCCCCCGATTAACTGTATTTTAATGTTCTGCCCGTTCAGTGATTGAGTTCGAGTTTGACAACCCCTGCCTTAAATACTAGAAATAAAAATAATTACTACTTACTAAAACTTTATCAATGTACTGTTAATTATCTGACCTAATATATTGGAATTTTTGTTTAAATTTTTGACAATTTCTGCTTCTAAAAAAATGAACAAATATGTATGGCTTGTAAAATGTTTTCATATCTTCAGGAACTTTTTCAGGAACCTGATTCTGAAGAGTTCACTTCAGCTGTGTCATATGATAAAGTCAATAATAATGTTGCTGCTGCTGCTGCTGATGATGATGATGATGACGATGGTGAATGGTTGTTACCTCACAGCGCACCAGCAGCTCCCAGATGATAAATAGCAGCCAGAACGTGCCATATGGCTTTCTGCTCACTGGCTGAAAACCCCAACGTTTCCATGGCAGTCAGCAGCTTGGAGAAGGCCACAGACGCTCGCTGTTTCTCCTCCATCTGAGGACAGACAAGGAGAGGCAGAGGAGGATTGACAGTGGGAGTCATGGATTATCTCCCGTCACAATCGTTATCTCTGCAAACGGAGACATCTCAACACACATCATTACACTTTTACTTTTCTACTCCTTCTGTATCTCAGCCTCAGCTGAACTTCCCTTTCTGTAGAGATTTGTCATTTACAACTTTTATTGTTTTTAATACAGCTAAAGTTGGGGATCAGGAGCTAAAACCCTCGTCATATATCTCTTTAAAGGATTTTGAAAATTGTAAGCAATCCACCGAGTCAGAGCTAACGTGATCCATGTCTGAGGTTATGATGACGTCTGTTCTATCTTTAGAGCAGTGAGCTCAAACAAAACAAGACGTGGACCTGAAAACAAGACAGAACATGTTATACAGAAAAACACACACACACGCACACACACACACAGCCAGTGTACCTTATTTGGATTTACAATGCCAAAGGAGTTGGCCTCCAGCAGCTGGTGCAGCTGCAGTTCTGTCCTGAAGACAAAGAAACAACAGAGTTTACTGTACAACTAATAACAACCGTAACAACTGACCAGCTGACTGACAATTGTCCAATTGTCAGTTTGGGAGACTTTCAACTAGTGATCATCAACTGGAGGCCTGTGGGCCAAATGTGGACCGTCAAACCCGGCTGAGGATTTGATTCTAAAATTTAAGCAAATAATAAGGCTAAATAAAAATGTGATTTTTATTTGATTTTATAGGCCCCAAGGTGTCTGTCGAGAAAAAACCTGGCCCTCTGAATGCAACTCTTGACTCGTTCTACGAGCCACCGTTAAGACGTCGATGATATGTAAATAAATGCCTGGGTTACTTTTTTAAGAAAGAGATTTTTGAATATGTCAAAAACTCTTTGACCCTAGGATGTTGTTGGAGGGTGTATGTGGCAGTCAACCATTAGGGGGAGACACAGCTGTTGGAGACTGAAGCCAAGTAATGATTATTGGCCTGCAGAGCCAGGATCTGTGTGCATTTGTCACACATACTTCACTGTATGTCCTTGACTGTAAAATCTCCTCCAAGGACAGTTTACCTCATCTCCGCACTGAGTCCCGCCAGCATCTGAGAGAAGACCAGGAAGTTGCCCTCTCCTGGGGTTTTCTGACACACTCTCCACTTGTCCAGCATCATGGTCTGACGAGAAGCAGAGGGAGTGAAGTGTCACACAGGGGTCTGACATGTTAGGTATTGATTTTGAACCATGAGTAACTCGCATTCGATCATGCAGACCATGTTCCATCGCTTTCAAATCTCCAGAAATAACTTGATTCGGATTCAACCTTCAGGACTAAGAAGTGATTTTACACGTGTGGTCAACATGCCTGCAGGTGTCCAGCTGAGGCCTGTCCAGCGTGGTTAAAGTCCAGCGAGAAGACCATGGCGAAGCGAGATGAAGCGTCACTGTGCTGGGAGCTGACACAACCAAACGCCCTGAGGATCGTGAACATGGCCTGCACACGCTCCACTGAAGTGTGGAATCACAAGTGGGGGAAAAAAAAAAATGAAATTTTGCAGTGTTTGGGCAGAAATCCTCACGTGTTTTGTTTTTTTTTCTCACCGCTGACGTTCTCTCCTGATGTTCCAGCCTGTTTGAGGAGGGCGTGTGTGAATGTTTGGCACGCCGTTGTCTTGCCTGTCCCGCTGCGTCCTACAGCGCACACGCTGTGATCTCTGCGGGTGCCCACCAGGGACACGTACACCCGTTTGACTAAGGCCGCCATGGCAGGGGGCGCCTCCCACACTGACTCTCCTCGCCGAGACTTTGGAGTCTGAAAGGAGAGACAGAGGCAGAAAATATGTGAAATATTTGGACAGATGAGATATTTCACATCATCCAAGAGGCCGGACGCTTCAGTTCTAACTGACTGCTGGAAAAAACCTCACAGTGGAAATGTGTATGTGCTATCGCTATAGCAACGACTATAAGATAAGAAAATACTAGAACTGGAACATTTTACTACAGACTACAACGCCGTCAACAAATACATTCAAATCCACTGGAGATGTTAGTGGAGACACGCTGCTCTGAACATGAGGGACGACAGAGAAGTCAACAGGAAACTGATTCACACAGACCAGAATAACATTCCATCACGTGAGGACGACGAGGTGAAGGAACAGTCACACGTTAGAGGAGCCCTAAAAACGGGGAAGGGAACAATAATAGATGGAATAACATCGTTAGTCTGCCGTCTCTGAAAATCTGAAGGATTATTAACAATCACCAAGACAAATCTCTCGGTGCAAAGAAATAATAGACGAGAGAGAAAAACCTAACAAGACACAGGTGTAGCGCATTAGCACGACAGCGGCTAAACACAAGGGAGGGCAGGTGCAGGTGATTAAACTGACATTAGCAACAGGAAGATGCTAACGGAAGGAGAATGACCCAGAGAGAGAAAGAGAGAGAGAGAAAGAGAGAGAGAGAGAGAGAGAGAGAAGGGGTGAGGGACACAAAGAAGAATTCAGACAGAACAGGAGGAACAACAACACAGCAGTGGTGACAGCGGTGACAGTGGTGACACAGTGATGCTGATGCAGTGACCCTCACCTTGCTGTGGGTCTGCAGCGGGGGCCATAAGTTGACCAGGTTTGGCCCAGCGTCCGTCAGTGGCAGGTTAGCCCGAGCTCGACTGGTCAGCGTGTGGAGAACTCCACATTCGTTCACACTATGGAGGTCGCTCAGGTCATCGCACAGGTCCAGCTCTGATGGGTTACACTGTGCAAGAGACAGCCATGTTAAAGGACCAATCCATGTTTTATAGCAGTACAAGTAATGCATTATATATAAATTATGGCTGTCTAAATAAAGAGATGTTGACTCTGATCACCCAATCCACCAATGCCTGACCTTTTAACCCCAGACAGAGTGATTTGAGGTCATTTACCTTCTCAATTTCATTTTCTGTAACATCATGTAGTGAGCCATCAGTTTGCAGACGGACCCTAACTCGGCCCTCTGGCAGTTCTGGCGTTCCTTCGTCTGGTTTCAGCTGAGTGGCTGAAATGAAAGAATAATTATTGGACCTGTTGTAAAAACTTCTACTGTATCAGAAAGGACAGTTGTTGACTGGTCCTGATTAAAGAATGTATCTGTACGATACAACAGGATTTAATCTTTACAGTACATGGTTCACTGCCTCTGTGATCTACTGCTGGATCACCACCCACTTACTGGGCACCTGTCTTACTCAATTTCTG